AATCACGCCTTACAGCTTATCTCGTCGAGGAAAGGATTAACGACCAACGTGCCTCTTATCGGCATAGAGGTAAATCCCCAATGGGCTTGGAACAAAAACGCAACGGCTAATGACGTTGACGCGGCAACCTGTTGTCCAGCCCTTTTGAATGGGAGCACACGGATGTGGCTGTGCTAATAAATAGCCCCGTCCGATGGCGCATCTGCGTAGGAAAAACTTTACCCGAAAAACTTCGAGCGCCCCTTAGGGGCTCCCGCGCGCACACCCGCGCTCACCCCCCTGCGAAACAGGAGGCGGCATTATCATTATAATCACGCATCGATGCGCTGATCAGCGGTATTGTCATACCAAATGCTGAACTCGAGAAAGCGCGGGCAAATACAATGCGGATGCGCTCTGGTTTTTAGCATCGCCTTTTTGCGAAATGCATGATCCCGAGAGACGATGTCTCTCTCTCTCTCCGCGACTTAGATTTATCCCAAGATCGTTAATTGAATGTCTGTTCCTGTTTGAATCAAAGGTGAAGCTTTTAACAGCATGAAATAATAATTAATTTATTTTCTTTTATTACTTCAGTATTTGTACTTAAAAATTGTGACATAACAACATTCTAGAATAATCATTTTAAGCAATATGTTTAAGTAACAACAAAAAATTAGGAGAAAGCAAAAGAGCTCTTACTTCCTCTCGTTCGATGATCGAGTATGATTTTTCGTCTTGACGAATGTTTACAATCCGTATAATTGACAGGTGGGGATGTCTCGATTTAATATAGACAAAAATAATCAGAAGATCACTTCACGAATCGCAAGTGCAAGTGCAAACAAACTCTATCATAGAATTCTAGACACTTCTACTCCGCGCACATGTTCCGAATTCGCGAGCCTGAGGGATGAGCGTCACCCCATATGAGCGTCACATATGTCGAGGTCTCTTCGGCAGGACCCTTCTTGCTATCCCATGCTGATGTACCATTGCGTACTGGTAGTATCTTGATACTTCACCAGCCGTAGGGGTGTACAGATAGTATTACAGTGGGGCAAGTGCGGTTCGCTACGGCAACACGCCCGTCTATTTTAGATTTTGCAAAATCATCGACCCGTCGTGCTATGCAGAAAGTTCGTCACGTTGTCGCCATTTTTGCACGTCTAACAATACATTACTGTAGAACATTCAATGTGTTTATTATTGTTTTAATTTTATAAAAGCAATATTTTTGATAAAAATAATTACATATCACACGCGTATGAGATAGATGAAGAAGAGAAGATTATAAAGTAATACAGTTTTCTCAGTAAAAATAATTTATTGTATATTTATCATTCATATATTTATTTTTTGTTTTTAACTTTATACGTTGAATTCTTCTTATTCTTTATGCAATGTTTTTTTTACCAATCTGAATTTTAATGTATCAAATACGAATACGTATATTCTGACTATCTGATACTATTATCAAACTAAGTCGAAAATCCGTTTGACAGTTTCATTCGCAGAAGCGACCCCTTAAGCTGACATAGGTGGGGACGAATTCTATGGAATAAACAAGAAAACCAGAATGAAATATTATCATAGCTGAATAATAATAGGCTTAGAAGGTAAGCTAACTAGTACAGGATATATCTACGAAAAGCATAGCAATACTGGGTCGTACGACCCTCCCAATTGATAATTGGATTTAGCGGTGATGTTCATTTGACATCATTGGGACATTTAGTACGTCGACACTGCTTTCTATTGGATTACTGGAATATATGAGAAATGTCTTTACGTAAAATCTACTAAATATAGTTGCTATTTAATGTCTGTTTCTTTTTCGGATTAATGTTTGTTTACAATAAAGAAAATAAAATAAAATAATGGAAATTTTAATAAGAAAAAAAAATGGCATATAGAAAAGTCCATGAATTTAACTTCAAGTCGCTTCTTTGAAATGTTTTGTGTTTTTACATTAAAATGATCTTTCTTCTTAACAGCTAAAGCATAACGTAACAAAAAGTAGCACCTCCATCTCTAAATAGCTTCTCATACTCCGGAGCCGCGTCATTGCTATAAGGCGGCAATGTTACAGGCCGTTGGGCAGCTGAGAGGGATCTCATGAATCACAGCACTGAAAGAGAAGACGAGCTTTAGAAAAAAGAAGATTGAAACCGGTTTGGCACGCGCGCATGTCGAGTGTTTCGTAATGATGCCTGCAAACCATCATTAAGCTTCATTATCTTACCATGATAAACATTAATCCGCGACCCCTGACACTTCGTATACGATAGGTATACGTTAAGTAGTTTCAGCAATTACTCACTGCTAAACTTGATCTCGTAACTAGTTATCAACAAATAGATGAACATTTCCATCCATTTGAGAAAATCGACTCTTCTTCAAACCAAAATATACATATTTTTTATGTAACTTGTAATACATTATTATTTTTTGATTGCATAAGAATATATTCAGTTGATAGCAAGATAGTTAAAATAGCTATGGCATAATATTCAGAAACGCTTGCAAATGCAAAACAGTCAAAGAAGTAGATTCAAGACGGTTGAAATGGAAAGAAGGGAGGAGAGCCAAATTACCCGGCACAGAACACATTATCTCCACTTGATAGGCCCCATACCCTCGAAGCAGTGGCTCTCCGACGTAAATTGTTGAAACGAAATCACAAAAAGAATAGATTTTCTTTGCAATCTTACACCAGTAAGAAGATTGCGAAACACTGCAAATTTCTTCTTTCTTCTTTCTCTTCTAACTTTGCGATTGCCTTTATTCCCTCCATCACATAAATTTATTCAAACAAATTCTATAATTACTTTTTCGACCCAACTGCCATTCGACCTGAGATTTATATACTCGATTACCTAGTAAAACGCTTAATGTTTTTGTAAAATAAATCTTATAATTTTATGGCAACTTTTATTTCTATAAATTTATATATTTAGAATAATTGTAATAAATCTACCAATGTTGATAAAAACAATATCTAAAATATTTTACAGAAAGAAAGATGATCGAATATATTTTATATTCAAACATATCTGTAAACAAGAGTTTTATAAATATAAAACAAGTGATAATAAGTATTTAAGAAGCTTTTCCTATTACTATTCAAAATTGTATGTAAATGTTACTATGAGAAGAGATTTAAGCTGAGCTGAAAATAAATGAACAAATATTTACAAATATTTACATAAAAAAATAAAAGTATTAAAATAAATACATAAAAAATATAATTTTGTTTTACTAATTTTTATTTAAATCAATCTATCAGTATTTAGAGTAGAGCAGACTTAAAAATCAATAAAATATCATTTAATACGACAGGATCACTAGATTTTTAAGAGATAAATAACAAATTTCTTTTTATATCTTCAATACTGAAATGAAATCTATACTAGAAACGTGTAAAGATGTAACATGTAAAGAGAAAGAAAATACACAATACATTTTAATAATAAATAATTCACCAACAAATATTCAGGTTAAAACAAAATTTCAAGAATTTTTATACATAACAAATATTTACAAAAGATATTATTATTATTTAGCTTATTTGAAGTAGCGTTCGTTGATGTGAAATATGTATTTTTTAATTATTATAGAAACTTAACAAAGTAGATAACGCGTCGAAGATAAATGTAATCTAAAAAATACTTAGTTAAAAAACAAAAAATGCAACATTTTAATAATTTTTTAGTATTGATTCTAAAAACTTTTATTCAGAAGGAAGGAGCATCACAGTATGAACCTTATTCGAGTGCGGCTCGCGCCGGAATGACAGTCTCTTAACATTGCCGCCACGGCGCCACAGTCCTTGGTGTCCCAGATGGGCGTCGATATGGGTATGGGCAGCTTCATCCATTGGTCGTACGAGTCGCAGTGGATTGGTGCACGATACAAAATGGGCAAGACCTTCCAGACGGGCTGGTCGATGCGCGGTATCACTCGTAGCCGCGCCCACCACGATTCGCCAGCCCGACCCCACTGGGACCTGCTGGCACGCCGCTAGTGCCGGCCCTGACACATTCGACAAGCGGCACCGTAACGGGAAGCAACGTGCGACTGGGGACCTCGAAGGACCTTTCCGCTGGTCACGAGACACGTTTGCAACGTTTTGGCGGCGACGATAATACGCACCAGGGTACTGCTGGCAAGTGCTCAGATTATCATCGTTGCACATGTTTGTATCTTAAATATCATCGCCTGGTACAAGAATCGCAAGAATATAATATTTCAAAGAAAGGCAGCTTTGGGAGAACGTTCAAGGAACGATCAGTAACATCCCTGCAAGGTCTACTGACATGTCACACATCGTATAGAGAGTGATACAACAGTGATAGAAATTTGCGACGCGACTGACAAAGGACAAGGGACACGATTCTGCGCGGGCAAGTGAGAACAGTGCATTGTGAGACAGCAACGTGATCCTTAGTGCGCGTTCGTATCGCGAACTCGTGGCACGCACGTTCGGACGCATGTGCACCGGCACGCGGTCGGTGCGCCCGGTTTGACGGTGCAGTCCGGAAAGACGCGACACCCCGTCAGTGGTGAGCGGACGTTCATGCACCGCCACGGGCAACCGGTCGCTAACGTTTCAGTGATAACGATTCATGCACGTTCCTAAAGAAACGTGGCACCGGGCGTACCCGCTCTGACGGAGAGACAACCGGTGGAGTCTCCCGCGGAGGCGCGAAGGGGTGTCCGAGGGGGCGACGAAGGTTTTTGCAAAGAGTGCAAAGCGAAGGAGGAAGCCTGTTGCCCCAAGAGAGTCCGTACGGCCTCACCACGCGGTCCGACGAGTGGAGCAGTCTCCTGCCCAGCTCCACGATCGTGGGTGCTGGGGGGTCGCCATGGCTCGGACTTGGTGCCGGGGGTGGTACTGGGGCCACCACCGGGGGCGGAAGTCCCGTCGAGCTCGAGGGCCACTGGGGACGGAAGCTGTACGGCGCGAGTGTGGCACCGCCACCCCCGCCACCTCATCATCATCCGCGAGCGCCGTTGGTTTTCGCGCCTCAAGATATGAGACAGATACTGAAGGAGGAACCTGTACCACGTGCTTGGCCGCAGCCCACGCTCACCGACAACGGAACGTGAGTACATAAAAATATTATCGTCATCTTTATCTTTCAATCGAAAACATACAAAAAATGATCGAGAAATTACTACCGGCGAATGTTAGATAAAACTGATATGTATTGTCGAAAAAATATCTTGTCTGATTAATTCATACAATTTTATTAGCATAACGATGAGTTTTATTGAAAAGATGATGTTCGTAGTTGCATTATTGTGACAAACTTTTGTGCGATACGATATATTTGAATACGAATTAATTCATTTTTTAAACACACAATTTAAAAGTATACATGTGACGTAATTAATCTTGGTTTAACGATTGCTTAAAAAAAGGGGAAAAAGCTGTTTCATATAATATTATTTCTGTTAATCGATGAAGAATATATTTATAATTGTGCACAGTAAAATTTCATCATCATCATAAGATATACATTTTTTTAATAATATTTATATTTTAAAATATATAGTATATAAAGGTATATATACATGTGTTATTACTTCATTATTCGTTTATTAAATCAAAACAAAATATTCATATATAAATTATTATGTTTACTTGTAGTTTTTAATTCATTCAGACAATTAATTATATATACATGCAAAAATCAAATATTAAAACTCAAAGATGTATTTATGTGAATTGGAGAAGAATATTTTTTCTCGCTGTTATGTGTTATAATGTTTGCCGTCGGCAAGTTATATCCTTCCATAACAGTGTGAATTATATGATATAAATTAAAATTGTAAAATTGCTTTTATAAATACGGAATAAAAATTGATTTTACACAAATTTTGCAAATTATAAATTTATTAAAGAAATGAATTAATGTTTACAAAAAAAGACCAACAATGATTTAAAGTATTTTCTTTTCTTTATGAAACGTTAAGTATTTTTTTAGAATAAAATATATTATCTAAATTGCTTTAGAATAATTTATCCACCGTCATCAGCATTATATTTTACAAAAAAAAGCTGCAGCCATTAGGAGTCACATGGCATTTTTTTTGTAACTATATTACTAAATATATTCTACAAAACCAGACATTCTTTCTTTTGTTCTTTCTATTTATAGTGTATACCTTTAAAAATTATCGTATATTTGAATATTTGTTTGAATAGTAAAAAATCTATGAATTGTGATTAATTACAATACCTAAATATGCTATACATAAAAATTTGAAAAATTTGAAAATAACGAAGAAACCTGCCTAAGACGATTCAGAAAGGTAAACTGGGTGAACCGACGGATTCGCTAATTCAATAGTGGTTCTAACTAATCCCTTCCTCCAAGCACCGTGACACGAGGACCGACCGGAATCGAGTTAATGTAATTGAGAATCTTAACGCCTTTTGCTCATTGCTTCGTCCCAGACTTTTCGAGTCTACTTTCTCCCTTTACTCAATCGTTTTTCCTCTAGACTCTATCGGAATTGATGTTTCTGCAAAAAAGACAATTTTTTTAACCTGCACTTGCAAAATCGAAATGTGAAGAATTTTATTAAAACTACTTGTGAAAATACTAGTGCTATTTGACTGACAAAGAATAAGAATAAGAATAAGAATCACTTAAAAATTTCATTGAGTTCGCGATAATAGAATGTTTTAAAATAATATAATTAATATAATTAAAATTAGTAAGAAATTATTTTATAAAAGAAACTGAATGCACAGAAATTCAGAATTATTACTTAAACATTAACATAACATTATTGATAGAGAATTATAATTAATTCAATTCGATAGGTAATAATCGCTATTGTACGCAAATTTCAGAGTACAGATCTCTTTTTCGTCAAACTTAATCGAATCAATGTTGCGATAGTCTTGGTAATTGTCTTACAGAAGTTTAAGAGTCGCAAAATGTTAAACGTCAACTTTCACCTTTACGGAAATTCAAGCTGGAAAGTTTCGTTTCCTCCGCTACTAAGAACAGTTGTACCACACAACTGTGTTACATCGAGATCAACTAGGAGGGGTGTGCGAAACTGTTTTAAAACTCCCGCGGAGCACAGGCATAAACTCTCGCGCTTTTTAAAAACCTCTAAAAAAGTTAGTCCACCTAATGAAGCAGTAAACCACCGCGCTCGAGGGAAAGAGCTGTTGCGCAGCGGAAAAACAATGACCTTTCATATGAATATGAGACAAAGAAAAAAAACGAGACTGAGAGAAAAATTGCTACCGATCTTTGAAACTGTAGTCGCTTCGATCAAATCTCGGAGAAGAGAGCGATAGATATATGTGTAAACTCGACCATTTGACATATACCGCACGTATTTTAAAAAACATGAATTCTGTGGTCTTTATAAAATAATTAATTAAATATTTGATCACAATTTAAAGACAGCGGTAAATCTAAATATTAAACGTTTAATACAGTGTGTAACAGTTTTAATACATTTTAAATATAATATATAATTATTCCAGCTCTTAATTAAAATACATGAAAATTATGTATTAGTGGGGAAATTCTCGTGTGGAATATATTTGCGAAATATATGCGCATCACGGCGTGTTAATAACTAATAGATTTTTATGCAGCAAAAGGTACGATGAAACACAGCGGTAAATTGAACAACGTTCGCAGTAACGCTCTCTCGTAGCAAATTACATTCGGATATATTACAAATTGCTCATTATCTCCATGCGCATTATGAATCGCGTTGGGCGCGAGCGTAAACAGAGAGCGCGCTTCGGCTAACTCGCAATAACTAACGCCCGACGGTGCGTATTACCCACGGATTTATTGTAATTCTCTACGATTGCTTTATCCGTACCCATATTCGTAACCATATCGGTGGGTTTGTATTAGTTTGTATTATTGCATATTTCGTCCATAATGCAACACAAATAGCACAGGTCGCATCTCTCGTGTATAAAGTATAAGCATCGATCGGTTTATCCGGCAATCCGTCGTTGTTCTAAATACGCCGGAGATCGCGCGCCTCGTCGTCGTTTAAATGTCGATTATGTCATAACCAGATACGCGGGTGATGATTCCACAGATTTGACGCGAAAATGAAAAAGCTCCGTAGCAATTGTCTAACGCGATATAAAGCGCAATTCCCCTCGTGTATTCGCACGGTTCGTAAATACACGTATATAATACACGCCGTATATACACGTCATTCTTTATTCCTTGATATATTTGATGTATAATTATGCAAGTCTCGCAATACTTTAACGATTATCATCGCAATCGAGATTGCTATTGCTATAAGGATCGAGGAATTACGTATATTCCATATCTTCATTTGTACGTATTTGAATGCATGTCGCGCTTTATCCGATATCATTATCGATTGGAATCCAATCCAAATCAAATCGAATTGCACGGGCACTTTAGCCGACCTAAAAAAATGATCATGCGGTGGATTAGTAGCGGCGGAGGGTCGAATGATTCGCAGGTGCTGGAACGAGCAATGTTATCTGCGAGACCAAAAGCGCGCGCGTGGCAAATTGCACGCACGAATACAGTAAACGCGAATGAAGCCCGTAATTATCACCTCGGCGTCGGTCGGTAGGACGTGCGACACGGTCGCCAACATAAACGCATAAAGCGCATGTGTTATCCGCATATATCTGTGAAACTCATAAACACTGAAGCTCGTACAATCCAGAGAATGGGAAATTGAGCAAAAAGTTGCCGTTTGAGAGATGAATTGTTGTAAAGATATATATGAATTGTTTCGCTGTAACATGAATTGATTATGACAAAGTAGACAAGTTTGCTTCAATGTTTACATACTTTTTGTGTGAATTTATTGTTTTTAGTTAATCTCATTAAAGGATTAAAGATTAAAATATAAAAAATTACGTTTGCATTATTATATAAACGTTATTTTTTAGAAAATTTGTACTATTTTCTTAAATCTCACTACATTGTAGTTTGAAAAAGTTTACATTTTAAAGTATAAGTAAAGCTTATAGTAAAGCTTATAGTAAAATTTATTATTAATTAAAAAGGCATAGAACCAGTCGATAATCAAGTATTATTTAAGATTATAAAACTGACTGCTTCCTAAAATAATTTAGACGTGAGTTTGCAGGCACTGATAACCGCATATGCATTACTGTCATATTAGCGATACGAACTGCGCGCGTATGCGCGGTTTTCCGCAATCCTCGATAGTCGCTCGAAAAGGCGTGGTATACAGTAGTGAATTTTGGGTGATAATATAACGGTGCGGCAGAACGTGCCTACGCGTTATATAGGAATTGGTGCATGGCAAACGGGGCAAAATAATCGGACGTCGAGAGTTATGGGGCGCGAACCGGCGACCGGTTAATCAGCCACCGATAATTATCGACACGGGCAGTACATCACTACCCTTCCTCCCTCAACGCATCCTCCCTCGGTCCTCCGCCGCGATCCGCCGCGCCGTTCCCCGTTCGTTCCCCGAAAGCCCGCGTTGCACAACCCCTTGCAACCGACCCCGCGCTTCCACCCCCCCCCTTCCTGCCGGCGGCTCGGCATCCCACCACCTGGCGTGACAAACGCACCGCCGATACCATCATTTATTTCGCAAATGTGCTGCAAAACTGCCGCTATTCATTTTCGGTCCAGTCGATTCAGTTTTCCGCTCCGAGGGTCCGCCCTGATGGCTGTGCGCGCAGCTCTGTGCAGTCGTGCGATGGTTTTATCGTTTCGCGACGGCACGATCGCACAGACCAGTGCCGATAATGCGATTTCTCGGCGGTGATTTTTAACCGCGAAGAACGATCTAATCTCTTCGGTAAAGTTACAAATCTCTCTTTTTACATACGACACAATTATATTTATTATGATTTGACAGCAATAGATCATTAAAATTTATAGGACAGTTTGACAGAATTTATATATTATCGCTATATTATTGGAAACAAAAAGATACTAATAATAAAATATAGAAAGTTATATCCGTGGATTTATAGATATTTATAATAAAACATATAATAAAATTTCTGAAATAATATAATAATTATTATTTTAATGTGTTCTAATTGTTGGATGTAAAGTGAAGAGGTGACGCTGGAATGATGATAGAAAACTCTGAGCTTTACGAGATCAATCCGAGTCTGAGATCCACACGCGGGCTGTGCGAAGTAACGTACTCGAAAAGGGGACTTTCCGTGCCATTACTCAAAGATGGCATTGGAGTCCGGCGGCCTAATCTCGGCACATGAGACCTTAATAGGATTTTAAGGCGTCGAGACCACCTGCGCGCTTCCCCACGGTCGACCTCGTTTGTCTTTCCTCTCTACCAGTTTGGGCATTCTTATTGCGTCCAAGAATTGGACTGATATACCTCTTCAACGTTACGACATAGATTATCGTTTAACATTTCACTTGACTACCAAGGTTTAAAGATTATTCGTGTTTATTAGAATGAAAATAACTATTATCTCTATTTGATTTCGATGGACTCTCAAATTTCAATAGATTAATTAACTTTCGGGAAAGATAAAGGCAGAAGATTGGAGGCAGGGAGAATGCATGGCGTGGTAATTAATGCGCATTCAAAATATCCCTATAAAATGTATATATATTTAATTCTTCTATTATAAGATTTAGTTATATGAACGTTTCAGCTTATCTTCAAGTTATCCAGATGTACATATATTAGCAGAACATTTCATAGGCCTGTAGTTTCCATAATTTCTGGCATGCAGTGAATGAATGAGTCCTAATCCGTCCCTAATGATTGAAAAATATATTTGTCCATTAAGGAACGAGCTATAAGTTCTATGTTATTCGTTTGTTATATATACAAAAAAATGTACAAAAAATATTTATCTTTAAAACTAAAACTTTAAAATAATCATAATTTTGTTCACTCAGTATATGCGAGGAAACGATATAAAGAATAAAATTTTAAATATAAAATTTGATGCACTAAAGTAAAAAACGTATATAGGCCAAGAAAAAAGTTGTTAAATTTAAAATTTACTAACAATAATTAAACAAATCGCTTAAGTTAATTATGTTAAAGTAAATCTATATTTGAAATCAAAACATTAAATGTTAATCAAAGATTATACAAAGAATCTTAGTGATTACGTAACAAAACTAAAGATAAAAATAAAAATAAATAATTTTAAAAAAGCTAAAACGTAACATTAAAAATTAAAATTATTGCAAAGTTGTAGTTTTTAAATTATTTAAAATAGAAACATAAAGGCATGGTATAAAAATTCCGTGTCATAGTATAAATTTAAACTATTATCTTGAAGTTTAATGTATAATATTTCAAAATCTAATTTTCTGTTTAAAAATCTCGTCGTATAAAATTTTTATATTTATCTTGTCGAAATTATAATAATTGAAACGCATCCTATTCTCGGTAATATGAGAATGCGCTCTGATAACTGTTTTCCGGTTGATATACTTGTCTCAAAATGATTTTTAATTTTTTTCTTGTTTGACCAACATAATATGCGTTTTAATTCTTACAAGCATTTTGTATATCACATTTTTCTTTGATCATGCGAGGGAAATGTTTCTGAGCTTTAATAATCTCTCCAAGTTTAAATTATAAAAAAATAATTTTATATTAAGATTCTTGATAATTTCTTTGAATGTCTCCAAAATTTTAGTTTGTTCTTCGGAGATTATCAAATTAGAATTTGAAAATTAATATTAGAAAAATTAGAATTGGAAAAATTCAAAAAAATTGACAAGAATCTCAAAATTATCTTATAGTGTCAACAAGCTTAGAAGGATAATTAGAGAGCTCAGAAAGATATTCTTCTGCGTGACTAAGGAAAAAAATGTGATATACACAATAACTTGTAAAAATTGCAACGCATATAATGGCAGAAAGAAAGAATTACAAACCAAAAATTCTAGACGCAAAAATGATGAATGGGATATAAGAATTACATCAACAGAGAAACAATTACTTAGTCTATCATTAGCATAGGTTTCATGATTACACTTTCAATTGTCCTTTTTAAAAATTAATTAATATTATCTCTACAGTATACATATAAATTGACTTATAGGTCATAAACAGTTATATTTGCATAATAAAAGATAAAATATTGAATATTATTTATATTGAAATATTAACATTATTTCTAACAGTAAAAATTTAATTTGGGAAATACGTTATTATATTAATTAATGCGATAAAATATTTTTGTATGATAATAAAATATACATACAGTTACAATATTAATATATTGTAATGTAAATTAATAAAATAAACAATTCTTTAAAATATGATATCACTTGTGATCAATTACAGGGTTGGCGTGGGCCGGGCACATTTTGAGAAACAACCACCAAGTAATTTAAGGAAGAGCAATTTTTTCCATTTCGTAATCGCCCTTTATGACCGACACGGCCAACCGATCGAGATTGAGAGGACGTCGTTCGTGGGCTTTGTCGAGAAAGATCAGGTAATAATTTCTATTATTATATTTCTCGTATGGCTGTAAAACTTTTATTCGATTCGACCCGACTAATTTATCATTGATCGCTACACAAGGTATTGTAGAACATAATGACATAAGAAGTGTTCTTCACGTTTCTTAAGCTCGAAAATCCGCTGGCGTGAAGACGTCTTTCTTTCCGAACGTGCTGACAAAAAATTGTAGCGAATAAACACAGAGTTTGTGAGTACCGATAGAAATGAGCGACTGATAGCGATTGATAAGTTCAGAATTTCAATGTTTCGCGCTAACCGCCGCTCTCCGGGGAGGCCGGAAAAAAGGAGAGGAGGCCCTTTATGACGCCGGGGGAATATCGTGCGAGCGCGCGCTTATCTCGATAATTGCCGTTTCCATCGGGGCCGGCGTCAAATATTAAACAGCAACGCCTACGCGTGTACGCGTACGCGTATCGATGATCCGTAGAATCCATAGCAGCACACAGCGCCTCTTTTCCGGCAATTAGCCAGACAGGCGAAAATCCATCGGCCGCGTGAGAAATGGAATGGGCACGATGCAGGATCACGGGGATGGTCACGCGAAGCGAATGACCTACGAATAATAAAGAGCGCCCTTCAAGCGCCTTCCACTCATGCTCGCCGTACCTTCGATTGGAGATTACGTTCTGTCGGGCGTTTGTTAACCAGGTACTCGTGCGCGCGAAATATCAAGGCTTCTACGAGAAATTACCATAATTGTCAACGATACAGTCTGCAACTAATTACATGGCAGTAGAATGAATTCTGTCGTACGTTTATATGTTTTATCGCGCGACGCGGTAAAATATACATACAAAAGGGCACTATAGCTCGTATACCTTTAAGACCTATCACTTCACGGTTATGAAACGCGATGAAGCTATTTTTTTACGTTCAATTTCATTGTCCTGAATATCATAGCTGTCAGTTATAACGGCGATGGAAGAAACGACGTTAATATAAAGATCGCATTTGCAGCAATTATGTTAAAACCATTTTATAAACGATATATAACTATAATTGCACCAAGATAAGTTATGAGGTGCAATTAAAACACGTAAATTGTGATCCTATACGGAAATTAAGTGACAGCTGCTGAATAATTCTAATATACTTTCCGAATCGACGGCGAATAATACGATAATTCACCGTGATATAAATTCGTCGACAGATGGGAATCTAAGTTCCGCTTGCGGAGTTATCGCGGGGAATGATCGCGACCCCGAAAGAATGCTCTCGAACGGGACGCGATTGTCACCGCTCGGTCATCGTTGAGAGCTCCACTTTCTATTGGTTAGGTCAATTAGTACAGCTGTTTAAGGAAAAGTTGGCTCTCTGCCGTCGTGCGACGCAGCGTCGATTCTTGCGCAAGAGAAATCGTTGCGTTGAGAGACCGCGTGGTCTTGCACGGACTTGCGGATTTGCGCAGGTACAACACATCTCCGGTATGTGCGCTCATAAGAACCGATGTACAGAGCGCGCTTTATGGCATTACATCGTGGATCAATCGATCGGATCTATGTACGTATGTACGTACGTATGTGCAGCGCCGCGCACACGGTACACCAAATAAACGACGGGAAATCCAGATGCACGGCACGAGGACGAGGACCAAGGTCCAAGCGCGTATAAATTATCGAAACGTAATCCCGACCGTAACCTCTGGAATTCTAGCGAATCCCGTTCATATAACGACGATGCTCTGTCGGAAGTCCCTCTGTCTTTCTCTTTCGTCCTCTCTCGTGTGCCTTCCTCTTTCTCTACTTCTACGCCTCCGGGGTAACGAGGTACACCCCCTAATAAATCTATCCGCCATAAATCGTCGGCTAATTCGACACAGGAAGACATATAGTTAGATCGCGTTGTAGGATGTAACGTCGTAGATTTAGGAACGTAAGGTGTAGAATGACTTGCGATCTTGCGAAAGTTGCGAAGTTTGATAAAATGATCGGTTAATCAATCAAACGACATGCTGATAATGATTAAAGAAAATGATTAGCGCCTCTCAATATTATGTATAATATGATGAGATAATTGAATAATTCTAGTCTACATTAATCTGATCTTTTATGTTCTTAATATGAGAGTACTTAATATGAAGTTTTAGACATAAGATTTATTTCTGGTAATTATCTGTGGCATCTTGCATTTTGCATTTTAATGGACGAGCGCATTGCATATTAAAATTCCATTCTTAATGTAAATGTTCTTGTAATGTAAGTTTTGAATTTAACTTAATGCAACGTCGGATTACGAAAATTTAGCTACATTAAGTTTTGTATATATAATACGTAAGCAGATTCATTTAATTATTCATATCGCGATGAATATCAGGGCTTCTCACTTTTGTATCTTTTCAGCATCTGTCGCTCCATCTTTTCGTGAATCTATATAACGTTCCACTTGGTTTCGCTCATTCCTCTCTCATCCTCCTGGCCTTATAATACGTGCATAATTCACGTTGTCGGAACAGTTGCATCGCGTGGGCTCCCTATTAATTAGGGTCATGCACCGCGGATATGCATCAACCCCGTGTCGAGTTTGTATCTCGATTCACGCATCTTCTCCGATCTGTCTTAATCGAAATTATTGTATTCTGTTATAAATATAATAGAGAAATATTTGCCTACATGTATCATTTTTGCCGCATCTTCGTTATTCTTTTTTAATAATAAAAATAGATTACAATAAATATATATTAAAACATAAATATAAATATGCATACAAACATAAAATATCGATAAATGTTGATCATTCAATAATTGATTCTAATTGACATTCTAAAACAGAGAGCTTATAACATATTTTATTTTCTCTTGTCTGGAATAAAAAAGAAACATGCGAAAATTGGTATATAAAATGTGTGCGTAAGAGGTGTTAAAACGATCGTTTATCGCGAGAGAGACAACGCAGAAACATGTGAATTGAGGCTCGCTAAGCTCGACACGGCGCAATACGACACTATGATGCTCGTACACAACGTTCCCGGAAATGGATGCTCTAGGTAAATACCTAGCATCTCCTCGTCCCATCCGCTTTTTGTTCGTGTTTAATTAAAAAGTAGTCAGCGAGGAAGGAGAGACAGTGAAAGAGAGAGAGAGAAAGAGGGAGGGGGGGAGAGAGAGAGTTCGACCTATCCGCGTATATATCTGATTAACGTCGGTCGTGCGTTGGACGAATTTAGAGATTAATGGTCGTGACGAGCGCCGACGACAGGAGAGAGCTTAATGCGTACGCTCAGACCGCGCGCGCGACGGAAAAAAGGGAAGAAAGACGTCGCCGGTCAGACGCCGATCGACGAAGCAGGGCCGATTATCCGATGAAGCGAGTGCGGACGGAGGGAGTTATTCCGTTAGAAAAATGATCACTTCCCGTTCATTCGCGAAGAAATCTTGCGATGGATTTATGCGGTTTTCTTATCCGCGTCGACTATTCCCGCGCTTAAGCTGATAAGCCATAATCTTGATATCTTCTGCGGAACTCGTACTCGTCGAAATGGAGCAGCTGAGGCAGTCAGACTTGAGAAATAAGAGAATTTAAGAGTATGAGATTGTTCACGACAAACGTAGTACAAGAAAATGAATATATATATATATATATATATTATATTTTTATTTTATTTAAATTTTATTCTATTTATTTTATTATTTATTGTTTTAAAAAATTGTTACATATATTTCATTATAGCATAGCGTATACATTTTACATGTTTTTAATTATTACTTTTATATCTTTTATCTAATTTGCTAATTGGAATTGTTTTTCTTCGCAATAATTGATTTGATATATTCTTACATTAAGAATCTTCATTCTGTCACAACATCTGTTGAGTGCACTCAGCCATAAAAAAATCGCAGACGCTGTTGTATTATATTAATTAATTTATAGCGAAATTGTATATGAAAAATATGGAAAAAATTAACTTTGTCTATTAGAGAAAATAATAATTGTATAACGTATCATCTGCATGTATGATAGAACAACAAAACGAGTCAATAAAGTTTTGCTATATATCTATGCGCGTAATTACGTTAATTTGACGTAGAATCGATTGGACTGCCAACGCTTATCCTCGAGTCGAAAGGTCGTATTGCACAACTAAAAGTCGTAGTCGTGGGACGGAGAGGGCGGTCGTGGGTGTACCACCGACCATGATGTTCCGGGGGTAGGTAGTTGAAAATGCATTACCGCGGTCGCGGCATATGGCACGATGCACGCATGACTCGTCAACGGGGCAGGATGATAATTATGCATCGCACGCCATACGTAATGGCATGGCTCTTACCGGCGCATCAAGAAATTAATAATTAGCGTGAGGTGGAGCAGGCTGGGCACACACAGGCGTTGCGTCACGGTGCACTTAATTAAAATAGAATAGAGCTCGAAGAACGCGAGGTTGTGTTTGAACGATAGCTACCGTGAACTGTCAAACGATAACGCCTTGTAGAAACTTGAAAGTATTAATAATTGATTTAAAGCGACATGTAATTTATTTATTGTGATTAGAAGTATTTAAGTATCGTGTCTCTTCTTGTAGGAGTCTGAGGGCCAAAAGACGAATAATGGTATTCAATACAATCTACATCTACTCTATTCTAATGGTAAGTAACAAAAATTTATTTTTTTTATTTAACGTTTAAATAATTACAACTTATTTATGATTTAAGCGTTTTGCTTAATTATATTAATTATCAATGAATTATAATCTATTTAATAACTTTTTTTTCGTATATTCAATCATTTAACAACTAAAACATTTACGTTAAATATTAATACACATTTTATATTTCCAATGAAATTACGTATAAGTGTGTGTAAAATAAGTACTCCCAAATCACATTCACGTGGCAAGGCGATCAGATAGAGTCTCGAATCGATCTGCATTCGTACGCCCAAGTAGTGGGGGGACGAAGCCCTAATAGCCCCATCCGCGTAGCGATGATGACGGGTTATCGACATTCCACACGAACACCCGGTCTCTTAAGGTCGCTAAAAAGTCCAGGGACTTTCGAGGCTCCGGCGCAACAGAGACATATTTTACGTCGCTGGTTCAGGCATGGCAAAAAGGGTCCAGCTTCCGTCTTAAAGAAGCACACGAATATACGCGCACGGACAAGGCGCAAAGGGAGATGAGAAACGGCGGGGAAAGAGAACAGAAGAAGCGAACATTTTGAAGGTGGTCCGACCAGCAGACCCCCAAAAACATACTCGCATTATGAACGCATTAAAAAGCCGCAAGACGCTATACGCAAGCTCCCGACCCAACAGTTTTTCATTCTATATATGTCAATGAATAACGTCACAAACCGCGGTCATCTCTTTATTCCCTGTCTTATCTTTCCCTTTCCCTTGCTATGAAACCCTTCATCTACCTTTCTTCTGTCTCCTTTGCCTTTTCCATCCTTCTTTATCCCAGCTTACTACAATGTCCTCCTCCGTCTCCATTGCCGAGGCCCGATCAATCAATGCGAGATTTTTGTGTTGACTGGCTTGACTGAAGGACCGCGCTCCCATCTATGGTCACTAAAACGTGTCGCCAACATCGCGAACAAGAAGCAACTAACTATTGCAAACTAAAGAATACCAACGCGCACCTCTCGAATCGTCAGCCAAGTTCTTTATCTCTCTCGCGCCTTCTTTCGCCGTATTCTGGTCACCGGTTTTCTACCTCATCGTCTTCGTACACTTTACGAGAAAATACATGCTGCTTGTGCCTCTCCTTATCGTCATGCAATTTTATCCATGCTTTCTCTTGAACGCGATGCCATCCGTGTTTGCGTTTTGTCGGCAGCTGGTTTTGCGTATCAGAATTCTGATCGCATGATCGGACATGAAACAGTCTCGTCTGGTGAAACAGGAACAATCGGAGATACATTTGCATTTGATGAATCATAGATCACGCTAGTGCCAAATCTAATCGAGAAATATATCTTTTGCTAGTAAGTTTTTTTCTAAAATTTAAAGTGCTGTGCAATTTTATTCACATTGATTTTCCCTAATAAGATTAAAAAATATTTGACCCATATACGTTTCATAGATTAATTGATCATTTAAAAAATAATTTATTTAAAAAATTATTTAAAAAATTGATGTGTCAAATAATAAATATATATTTAAATGAAAAGAGGAACAGTTATAATTTATAATCGAACGTTAAAATATAAAGACACTTTACACTAATTATAAGAAGCTTTGAGAAGAATCGCTTTAAAGAAAAGAAACTCCTTACAGTTATCGAACATGACGATGTAACAGAGTTTACACATTGTCGTACGTGAGTGCTACATCGCTAGTTATGTCCTTTAGAGTCGATCGGTACATCAACGTGACTGTGATTTATGCGCCGTAGATCGGACTGTCGTGTCGTATCGTCGTTTATAAAAGTTTCATGCACGAAATACCTTGCCGCGCGCTCACGCGTGCGCGACTGTTATGCCTTGGAGACAAATTGGAGTACGGACATGCTCTGTCTCCCCAAGCTCACCGTTATACTGGCAGATCCGCATCAGGTGTTCCTGATACACGTCGTGGCGTCACCGATCGCTCGACCAGGCAATAAATCTGTAATTAAATAATAAATAAGGAGCGTTCTCTCCCTGCTCTGTCCGAGTGACGACGGGCTCTCGCCCATATTGGGCCCTACTCCTTTTTGTCATCGTTCATTCCTCCTGCATCTTCGCGTGCTCCGTTTCCTCTTTCTACTTCTCCACCTTCCTCGCCAGCATTGGCCTTTTCTTACACACTTCTCGAGCCGTCTGTCACACACATATGCGATAAGGAAAGTACGCGATACGCACAACACGTACTCGGTACGATAGAGATGGAAACGAAATACATGAGGCTGTAGCCGATGGAATATCGCAGCGCATAATAAAAGCGCCGCTGATCAAGGATCGCCGATCAAAACGATAGAATGGGCGGTGTCGGCTTTTTTGAGAGATCGTTTTTGCCCCCTTCGAACCCGGTCGCCTAGTTATGCTAATGCCCGGCCGATCTAGACTTATTTGCCTCCGCTCAGCGGGACATGGCACGCGAGTCTTCTTTCTTATTCAGCGTGTTCTTCACCTCTTGCCTTTATCGTCGTCGCTTCGAATTGCGCGAAGTGCCGCGCCGCCGGCGATAAGGTTGACGTGCGGCATTCCATGCGCTCATAATTACATTCCACATCCCTTAACCGATACAAGATGAATCGATCGATTTACAAAGAAAGAATTGTTTTTCTCTTTTCCACTTTTAACACTGCCGTCATTATAGTTTTCCAAGAATTAACGCGGCGAACAACGCTGCAAATATGCAATTAATTATAAGAATAAGAGAAAAATTAGTCTTCAATTTTTTTATGGTAAAAGTCATTTTGTAATTAAAAAACTAGATTAAATATTTTACTACAATCTATTACGAAACAACATTTGAAATTACATTATGTACAACTTTTATAGCCAAAAAATATACACGTTTTTGTAAATTTTTGGGAAATATAATTTTTCCCTGAAATCTTTTTATGAAAATTCTCAATCAGAAAATAAAATATTTTTTTTTTTATTTAAAATCGTTATCAATTAAAACTTTTGTAGCAGAGAAAGTCAGATATTCCGGCGGAAGCTCATAGCAGTTATTCGGTCAGTTTAGCGTCGACCTGTATTCGCAAATCCTGATATGGCCACGGATACGGTAAACCGGTCGACTGCGTATGTAACTTCCGGTAAAGCCGCGACGGTTTCTCGAGGTAATTTGTGAGCTAGTTTCGAGCAGAGTATCGTAATCCGCAATAACGTTATGCGGCGTGAGCCCGGGCCTGGGCGCCCGCCGGGTCTGAGAGTCTTATGTCGGGATTACTTGGCTTACCGGGCACGCGAAGCCGGAAGCCACGGGGGTGTCTGTCCGAAATACACCCCAGGATTACCTGGTGCTCCCCGAGGAAGGAAGGAACAGTTTCGAAAACTTGCAACGCCGAGATGCGCATGGCGAACTATGCTTACGACTTTGATAGCGCGCAATAATAATGCATGCCGATATGTAATCTCCATAATCTTTTTTACGAAGCAAACGTACCTTTTGATGGCTATAATTACAAAAACAAAACAAATCAAAAATTACAGACTTAAATATACTTTTCACAATTTTTACTGTGCACACACTTAGCAATTAAAATGAGGATGTCTTTAGGTTCTTCAAATTGGAAACTGCGTTTTACCTTACGAGTAAAGCGTTCCTGCAATGAATTCTTCAGGGTCGAATTTGTATCTCGAAGAAATAAGGATGTAATTATCATTAACGCATTTACACGTACGGGCGTTTCGTTTCCTATCCTGGCTCATTGCATTACGATACGCGCAGTGATGTCGATATTCGGCGTATTCCAAAGTAAGATCAGGATCGACATAAAGAAGCAAAATGATTGTGCATACGCACTGAAGGGCAAGAACGAGTCGCTTTGTATCGTTGACTTTAAATACTTCTGAATATGCAACTTTTTCTTAAATACATCCTTTCGGCAGCGGTATGCCTGGCAGAATTTGGACATGTTTCCGTATTCGTCGTATTCTTCTCGTATAAGCGTTGCAAATTCCTGCGCGAAACGCTTCTTTGCTTAATGGTAACTTTTTATCAAAATACGCGAACGAAACAAGTAGCATAACGATGATATTATTATTTCTGTTATCAAAGTGTTCCAAATATATTTAAATGTTTTTTAAAACATATTTACTAAGAAGAAAAGATATGTTTCTTATCTCTCTTATAATATTATTTTATATTTTTTAGGTGTCAGGCAGATGCAAGATATCTACGTTAGGCTCATTGACTCTGCGACAAAACAAGTGAGTATAAATTTTTCTCTGCTTTCAATAATACAATATATAAAATAATCTCATAATTTGTTATACAAGTACATACTGTTAAAAATGAAAACTGTTATTTTAAGTATGATTATACGAAATTTTCAAGTGTCTTTTAATGTTAAATTTAAAGAATATCAAGAACAATATATATTTAGTAAAATGATACAGCAATTTAGGAGAGCATGCCAATTGTCTCGTTTTCGAGTAGCTTTTGCGCGTTAAGCGCTTTTGCCGTTTTTATGCGTCGAGACTCATGCGAAATCGTCGTAGCGACGCGCGCATGTGAATGGGGGTGTTATCATCTCGGCTACAAGCACTTAATTTTCCGGGGGGTTGATTCTTACCCCTCCGGGAAAGCAGGCACACCGCCGCGCGCGGCTGTCCCATCCTGTTATCTGCGCCACGTGGCGAACTCTGCGCGCGACCCGCGAACCACGTGTTGTGATCCCGCACCCAGGACCGTAGATCCCGGTGCGCCGATAAGGCGCAAGAAGGATCACAACCTTCGTGCAAACGCAAATACATCGTGCGATCACGAGCGCGATAAGTCCTTTTATGCTCGTTCGAGGGTAACTTTTAGGCTGCGACACCTTCGTGAAAGGTATGTTTCACGCCTACGAAATGTCACGACATGTAGAGAAACGACCATGCCCTAGAAGTTAGGGAAAATATACAGACGAAATAAGTGGACGGATGTGAGCAATTTTCGATACTTAAATTAAGCCATATGCATAACTACATACATGCGAGTCATAATTCGAAAAAACGATGAAATGGTTTTATTTTCTGTGTACACTATAACGTTACCGATTTTTTAAAAAAAAGGATAATTGAAAAATGCTAAAACATTGTTAAACGAAAACATTAGCAATATATAAGTTAAGTTTAAAAATAATTAATTATACTGCGTCAATATGAAACAAATACGAATTACTTAAAATTATTTTGTTTTGTATCGTGACTCGAGATTCCAACAAGTTCTTATAGATATGCGCGCCATTTTAGCAAATTAAATCATCTTAGGGCTGGTCGGTTACGGAGGTAAGAAGAGGGTGGTAGTAGGGTGAAGAAGGAAGCGAAGAGGAAGGAACGAGAAGGGTTGGGGAAACAGAGCTGATGTTAGTTTTAGCTGATTAAATTACTAAGCCGCAGTGGCCTTGCACCGGCAGAGACCGGTCCTCAATTCGCGATCCATTCCTTTTATTAATCGGATCCGGGATGTTATAGGGTTGAATGGTTAGAATAGAGAAAGATCGATATATGTTATTATCTTTCGAAGCAATTGGCGAAATAAGAACAAATTAAAAAGACCATATCAATAGCTGCGGAAACTACTAAGTTCCAACTATTTGGCTAATTTACAAAATGCCATGTTTGTTTAATGTTGCAGTATCAAGTGAGGCGTACGCGAATATTCAAAATATGCAATCACGTCTATGGCAATTTTAACTTGTAGAAACTAGAGAAAAGAGGAGTAGATTGAAAACGCGAAAAAGGGGAAAAGAGGTCGAGTGTATTCGAGAACGATTGTCTGCGAGGAAAAGAAAAGCGGAAGTGATAGATAGATGCCGAGACACCCTTCTCGGAATCATGCTGGTAAAGGGAGTAGAAAGTCGAGCGCGGGGAAAGGATCGAAAACGAGAAAGCTGCAATTTATACATCAAAGCTTCGATTGAACGCGTCTCCGCTATCCTGCCAAAGCGAGAGGAAGAGATACAGGAAGGAGAATCACCGTATATTCACCGTGTCGGTGTGCGCCGCTACGTGCAACAACTTGCGCGAAGTGTTTAGCAAATCCAGGTCGTATCCCTCTGTCCATTGTACTCTAGAAAATTGACAAACCCGGATAAGCTTATCCGTGATTAAAACGTGGAAGATAAAAGAACCGCTTACAGTTTGTATGTATTGATATTGCGGCTCGCTGACTTCAAGCTCGTGCAAAAATTACTCATTAGTTTAAGTATCACATAATTTTCTTTCTTTTATTTATTCTATGACATTGCAGATAATAGCTTTAAATATAATTTTATTTATTTTTATAATAACTATTTAATTTATCGTTTTTTTTTTAACAAAATAATGTTAATTTTGTGATATTAGTAAAATTTCTTTATTTAATATTTGCAATTTAAAAATGACTTCTGACTTAATTTTTGCAAAAGTGGATGCGTACAATACGTACTTGTTAGAATTACCATCATTATTTTTACATCGAAAAGCTCGCGATTCGTGCAAATGCGTTCTACTTTTCTGGTGAGTTGCTCACAAGCCAAGCCGAGTTATGGCTTGCAAATTGCGATTCGGAAACGCGCCAACTTTTCTCGAGACCGAATCAGGTGCTCGGTTATAAATCCGCAATAATTGGCTACACCGAGTCGACTGCTGAGCTCGTGGTGAAACCCCCGACCCTTAAGCTTTTCTTCAATTTCTTCGCTCCTTCGCCAAGGTAGGTATCTATATCAACGTTCGCTTCTTGGAATTCCAGTGAGCAAAGTAGCTGTGCAACGAGATGCGAACGAAAGAGAGAGAGAGAGAGAGAGGGAGGGAGGGAGAGGAGATGGTAAAGAGAGGGAGGGAAAGAAATGGAAAAAGGAAGTGGGGAAGAAAAAAAGGCGCAGGATGTTGAGAACCGTCCGTTTCTCGGTGAAATTTCCAGAAAAATACGAGCTGCTTCCCGAGAAAGAAACGAGTTTCGTGCAGCGTGGCTGAATGGCGCTAACAACGTACGCTTTTAAGCGCTCGGGAACGAACTTCCGCCCGGCGAGAGGGGGACGAACGAGAGCCAGAATGCGTTTTTTCGCGGGATTAAAAATGCTAAATGGTAATTAGTTCCGGGGATAAAAAAAGCATTTACAGGACGTGTATATGGAGAAAGCAGAGAACCGCGCGGCGCCATTATTCTAAATGAATGAACAACAGGAAATTGTATCTAACCTTTTTAAACTCCATCCAATGTTGGAGATGGTCAGCCGTCAGACTATTTTTCTCACCGTAATGTCGACTCGTCAGCATTCGCAGGGGAAACTGGAAAGCGCGTGTTCGATCGAATTATGCAAGAGTGGGGTTTTTTTTATCGTTTCAACCAAGATGTCTTTTCTTCTTTTTGATATAATGTCTGTGATTCTACAATTTAAGATATCAAATCGAGCTGACGTAGCTCAGAATATAAAGTGCCTATAGCTAATACTGAAATATGAGTATTTAACTATAGATTAAGGAAATAATAAGTTCAAGATAAGTTAATCCCAGACAGATAGAGAGAAAGAGAGGCCGACGTTCCCCTCAGGCGATGGACATTCTTCTAGGGGCGAGGGTAACGTTGTATGTATGTTGTTCGACGTATGTACGGGAGGTTGTGGGGGTTACTCGAACGATATAGAGGGGGATTCCCAGGGGACTTTTGGAATCGATTCAGGATGGAAATCATTACGGTAGATTTGAATGACTATCTTCGAATTTATCTGCTCCCTTCAGTACTTGCTTTTCTCCTCGTACTACTGCCATCTTCGAGGGCTCCAAAAGAACGACGTTACGGTTTTATTATCATGCACACCGATCCTTTTTCAGCTGAATGATAGTCTGTTGTCTGCCGATATAAAATGATATGATATCCTATGGTAAATATAAGATATCATATTATTAATGACATTATTTCACTCGTTTTGATTATTGTCTGATTAGATTTGTTGTTAGATTACTGATAAGAAACTGATAAAATTAGTGATAAAATTAGTCATTATTAGTGATGTTATCATTTTTAAAGACAAACATTTTTACAGGTATTATATTTAGGAAATCGACTATTATAATTACTATACTTTTAAAAACTTGGAAAAATTATCTATTTGTAGTCTAAATGTTTCAGATGTCTCATGTTTTAGAAAATTTTATTTTAATGCATCGAACTCTACAACTGTTGTATTGTATAAATTGATTATGATTGGAGATTCCAAAAGACTTTTCGCTATAAGTCCTTAGTAAGTAATTCCCGTGGGAATTAAGCTGCGGCGGGGGCCCAAGCATTCTCCTGGTGGGACTAGGAGGCAACGAAAGAAAGGCCCCCGAGGGGATCGTACTGACTGGTCGCACCCCCAGGACCCTCTGTTTGAAGTCGTTGCCTCCGACCACCCTTCGCCTACTTCAGCCATTCACCCTTGAGACATTCTACGACATAACATCGCCATATCCAATGAACCGACGAGCGAAGAAAGACACTGGAACTTTTGGGACTAGCATACGTAGAGACGTGAATTTAAATGCATAATATTCCAATGAAACTTTTAAAACACAGTTACTAATAGGAACTGACCATCTTAATACATTTATTTATTAATTGCAATTGTTTTATATTAATCATTATATAAACATATAATTTATTTTGTTTATTCAATCCTGTGTTGCCGTCAAAAGATTCTCAATAATATTCTTAATAACAAAAAAAAGAAATGGATAATGTTTCGAGAGCTATGTCATAAAAATATTTGCTTACAAGTTGCCCGTATGTATTCCACGTATACAAGATAAATAAAATGCGTAGGCACTATAACTTGCGTAATAGTCGTAAAGCAAATAATATTGCATGTCACGTCGCACGCGCTACATGACCTACCTGACTATGTTTTGTTTTACTGACAATTATATGTACGTAATATTGAAACTAATTGCATCTACCATTTATTTATTTAGATTCTGTCAAAAATCTTATTTCCTTAGTTTGATATAAAAATTAATTTTAACGATTTTCTAAGAAAGATGTTAAAAGTTAAGGCTTTTTTACTTTTATATTAATATTAATGATTCAGAAATATTACTGATTATCAGCAATTTTTTATGTATAATTGCATATATTTTTAAGATGCGGAAGGAAAAAAATAATTAAAATGTAACACAATATGGAAAAATTATTTAATTTTATATTTACATTTTTATTTATTTCCGTAAACAAGTAGAATGTTGATAAAAAATAAATATTTTTGTATATTCCAAAATTTATTCACGTCGAAGAAGAATTACGTCTTTTTTATCTCATTTTTATATACATTATACAACATTCATCAAATTCCGAGGGCATGACGTAATAATAGAACATTTAATTTTATCAGCATGTATCTGTATTGTTTATTTAATTTTATTATCTTAAAGATTTTAATACAAAGAAATTACATTTATAGAAGAAAAAAAAGATATAATTGTTTAATTGTTTTTTTATGCAATAATACATACAAATAAAAATGTAGATGTATTAATGTCAAATCTATAACAGCTATACACCGCATTTTCTGTTATTCTATCAACTGTAATGAAAAATCCTGATTCAACAAGCGATATTTCACACAAAACTTAATTGGTTAGGTGTAAGTAAGCGCTATCCTTATCTCGCGACAGAGTTTAATACGTACAAAGTACATACTTATTGTTAATTATTCCGAGTACAAATAAGTTCGCATGTCTCTTTACTATTGAGACTCGTAATAGCTGAACGGCACGTAACGTTCTATGACTCCTTCCTTCACTCTTACCAAGAACGTGTACTTTTCCCCTGCCATCCACGTTCGCGATACCCCAACTCTTCCCTCTTCCTCCATGTTTATTCTTGCCCCCCCCTATTTTCCATCCTGACATCTCCGTTTCGACGCCGGATCCCTCTCTGATTTACCTACTACGATGTATACAGCTACGGCGGTTCGTTTACGTTGCAATTCGGTTATTTCGTCCGCATAAATATTTGACGCCATTCTGGAAGTCGCACCTACACGCCGGAACCAAGTGTGTCTGATACCATTACCGTCGTACACCGACATTTAACCGGCCAAGCATGGCGGTGGTGCCGTCAACTCGATGAATTCCCTGGGACACTGTATTTCACTATATTTACATTTTATCGCTCTTCGTCGTGAACTCCAACGACTCAGAATGTTATGCAAAGCACGAAATTGTGTAAAAATCGCACGCACAATCAATGCAATTGTACGTTCGTTTTTCGAAGTCTGGCTTCATCAAAGGCTTCGATCAGACACGGCGAAGAGAAGTTTGTAACGAGAAAATAACTCATTTTTCAAATTGAAATACTGACGTTATCGAAATTGCACCGTGAAAAATTTAAGTTGAACAAAACGCAAATAGTGCGTTTTATCGTTAAAAAGATATATGTAATATTGTATACAGATAATTTTAATAAGGTCGATATTTTAAGAAATGAGTTATTCTTTTGCTTTATACAACTATATACAAGATGTCTATCATTTGAAAAAAACTTGGAATTGTCAGGGAATTTATTTCTGCCTTGAAAAATCAGAGAATTTTATTGAAATCGAGGAATTCTTTGAAGTTTTTTTTGTTTTCATTATTATAATCAAGTTAACCAATTGAATTATTAATATATAAAGTATAACAATGGATCCATCCATTCAAAACATCCATTCAGAGTATACTAATACTATGATTAATTCAATATTCACTATTGAAGACATTTAGTGATTTCATTTAGGTGTAACTTTGTTTAATGAAGACGAATATTTATTTTAATAGTAAATGTTGAATTTTGTGCATCACATAGTCTTTTGTTTGTTTGCTTTTAGAAATAAAGTTTGAAAATTTTATGCAATATAAGATATTTATGTTTTAGAATCTTTATAAACTTTTATAAATGGAAAATATTAAGGACTTTTCACAGTAAGTATATATTTATAAGATTTATAAGATCTATCTAAAATCAATTTTATTTTACTTGGAATATTTAATAAATTGTCTTGAAAATCAGAGAATTCTCAGAGAACTTTTTTTCGAGTTTGAGTAGACATCCTGTATCTACGAGAGATCAAAACGAGCCTATCTGTTCGCGCTTTGTTATTCCATGGTTAATCCGCGCGAAGGTCCCCATCGGTAAGTGCACGAATACAGAATAACGACGTGTTGTCATTAAATAAAAATCAATCGCGTGGTCGTGAAGGAGGCTTAACGGATTTGCCTGCGCCGCCCATGGCTTAGTACTCCTGCGGGGAAAGTAGCCCCTTCTCAACTCTCATCCACATGCAAGCTTGCTTAATACGTTACATATTTCCCATCGATGGTTGAATTATCTGTCGAACTGGATTACTACCACGTCGTCCATGTCCACGCTAATTAGCACTTTTTTTCTTCAAAATAAAATCTGCTAAAAGAAGTAAGAAACAGAGTTGATAATGTCGCGAGAAATTTAAGCAAATTTAGAATGACAGTAGAGTTGCACAAATGAGTGAGAATTAAAACGAAATAAATTAAAAACAAATATAGTTTGTAAGAATACATTTTTATTATTACGTTTAAATTAGTTTAACAATTTTTTTTATTAAAACTGGCAAATATTAATGATAATATTACTTTTCTGTTATAGGCAATTATGTACGAAGGACAAGACAAGAATCCAGAAATGTGCCGAGTTCTGTTAACGCATGAAGTCATGTGCAGGTATATTTTTCATGTCATGTGTTTCTATGTTTACATAATTATTTCAAAATTAATATTTATGATCAAATTTTTACTGATATATTTTATAATGTAAAGCTATTTCACATATTCGCATACATGTACACACACGTGCCGACTTATGTTATTTGCGTTTAGAACAGTGTCCCTCTTCCCTCTGTATAATGCCACCCTTGTGGTATAAACGTAACGAGGCATACGGGGATGTAGTCGTTCTCTGGGGGTAGCTGACTCATTGTGACCCATGGGACTTCGGGAACGTACTACTACTAGTTTTCGCTACCTACTTCCCGAATCCCATGGGTCTTGGTATTTTTTAGACTTGAAATTTCTGACACCGCGTTAAAGCTTCTATTTACGTTTTTCTTATAAGAATAAATTTTGCCGCAAAAATACATAATCTGACGAAATATATTGTTTATTCACAGTCGATGCTGCGATAAGAAGAGCTGCGGCAATAGGAACGAAACGCCGAGCGATCCTGTCATCATCGACCGGTGAGTAGAATCTACCGTTATTTAACGATATAAACGCGGAACGAACGTGTCAGTATCGCGACAGTCATGATCTGTTTAAATGCGCGAATTTATCTCGCGTGCGTTACGCAACGAGTACGTTACATGGTATCGCACATGACGGAATCTCGACTTGACGACGACGAACATAACGACAGAAGCGTCGATTTCGTAGAAATCGCCTCTCGTGTCTCAGCCAGTCGCTCGCGCTATCTTTGTTTTCAACGATCTACGAAATAAAGGTCCAGATAACTCCTTCTCGAAGAACCCGCCTATGAGATAGAGCCCCGTCTACCGTCGCAACCTGGCTCCTAGGACATTTAGGCTTGCAAAATACGCTTCCTACGAGGTATAGCAGCGGGATAGCCGGGATAGAAGAGTACTCGAATACTCGGGCGTACTTACACACCCTCCACCTTGTGCATGGTGCTGCTCGTCCATGGTAACATAGACTACCTTTATACACTTACTTTCTCGCTCCCCCTTATTGCCGCATGCTCGCTCGGTCTCTATCCCATGGCGTGGCTAACACGGGGGTGTAACAGGGTGAGCTTGGTATCTGAATAGGCTATAGAGTATCCTGAGATAGGAACGGCGGGAAGGAAGAGGTTTCCCGCGGGACCCAGGCCGAGATAGTCTTCAGGAGGACATCTTGCGCTCAGAGGTGCTCAACCCTCGGGTTTCGATACGCTGGCGGCTTCGAGCTTTCATCCGTATTCGAAGGGATATGTGTTACACGCTGGTGACAGGCAAAGCCCGGTAGGCTCGCGTGTAACTATTTTTCTGCGCCTTCGAGTCTCCGACGTCTGCACCTGTTGGGTTTAACCCCCGACGCCATGTGACAGTCGTGTTTTATTCGACAATGTGCAAAACTAGCTTGAAAATGGATCAAATTGGACAGTAACTCTAATCATGCGACGTACAAATTAACATATAAGAACATTATTATTATTTAACATTATTATTTATTTTAAAATTGATCTCGGAAGTAAGTAATTTTATGATAGTAATTTTGAAAATAATATTGCAAATGGAATTTTAAAAATTTTGAATTTTAATTTTAAAGTAAATTAACAACATTGATAATGTCTTTGCAATATCAGTGTAGAATGGTATTGATTTACGCGACAATATGGTGCATATTGTAGGAGTTGAAAAAATAATAACTACGATCCTGTAAAGATTATGCAATCTCGTAGGCTGGGCTGATCGGTGAGACGATAGAAGAATTAATCTCGAAAATGCTCGTACGGCACGCACGCACTCGAATAATGTCGTAACAACCGCGTAGTAACGTGAATGCAACCGCGATGCGGTCGCGTGTCGTGATGAACGCCACCCTCGAGTTCATTCCGTAGACACGGTGGATCGTAACAAGAGTAAAATAAATGGATAACTTCCGCAAAATTACGGGATTAAATCTTCACCATAACCATCTTTACCATTTATTAATCAGAATAATCTTGCTTCATGCAACGTCAACGTGATCACACATTATTTATGACATATTAATCATATACTTTGTGCAATTATGCAAATGAATTAATTTATTTAATTTGCCTAAATTTAGCTAAGTAAAATATTGCACAACTTGAAATGAGGTCATGCCTCCTCGTTTATTATTGATTTTTATTCTTGCATTCTTCCAAACGAACATAAACGCGTATATATTCACAAAATATCTTCCCACTCTTCTCAATATAGATGGTAGATCCTATATACATTGCTCACCGAGAATATATATATATATATATATATATATATATATATATATATATATATATCTCGGAAGGCTAATAGATTTTCAGTCTCGCACAAAACCACAATGGAGAACGCTAGGGCCTGATCGAGAGAGTGGGCGCAGGGTATCAATGCCACTTTGATTGAGGCGGTCCTGGTCGATTGTGACATGCTCACTCAGCTGTGCAGAAAGTACAACGCGCCCCCCATCAATTTGGTATACCTGACTGAAGGGAAAAACAAAGCGTTCGTATTCCTAAGCGTGATCATTTTGTCATCCCTTTGCGCCACTTTTGATGCAATATCCGACCGTTTCGCGGCTAAAACTATTGCGACTTATTATGTGGTTGTAGATTATACGCTTATAGTTTCATACATGTTAAGCTTGATGTTAGAGATTTTTGAGAATGAATTTCTCAAATATTTTACGTATTTATTTTAATAACTCTTTGTATTTTATACAAAATTTTCCTGAAAACATCATACATATTTTCTTTTTATCTTCAATTTCTATTTTTATTACTCAATATTCGATTCAATGTAAAAAACGACAAAATATATCGATACTAGGCATATATTCTGTTTTTAACTGGCAAATATAGATGCAGATTCATAAAAGTTGCAGAGGTTTTTAGGTCCCTTCTATACGTGAACGGCAGTTTGATGTAATCGGTCCATTGATCGATCGAAACGTGATGGCATCGATCGACGATAGGCGGATTGCGAGAACAGTCCTAGAGAAGCTGGTATTACGCTGGACTCGGAAACCAATTAACATGCATAATTAAAATGGCATTGTCGTGGCTGGGCAACGCCACGGGCTTCCCCGCCAACTGACGGATCCCCGGGGGCTAACGGCGTTTCATAATTACGAAAATCCACCCACCTCCATCGCCTCCTCCGCCCACGCGTTCCGGTGTCACTCTTTTTCTCCAATTGCCGGTATCCAGAAGCTCTCCCCGGAAAACAGGGAAAGGAGGATGAGAGCGCGTGAAAAAAATCGGGCATCGGGTCGGTGTGCGACGAACAACGCACCCCGGCGCTGCCACAGCCAATAACGTTCGAACAGGCCGGTCGCCGGTGCGATTGGCTAACTTTATTTCGCTCAGTGGGCAAGCCCTTAATTTCGGGGCATCGATCATAGCCCTCGTATGCGCCCTCCTCGCGCTGCAGCGGCGCTCTTTCTCCTCCTGCGTCACTTCCTCTCCTCTATGCGTTATACCAGTCACGATGACCCTCAGTACCGTGACGCACCTCTCTGCCATTCCCTCCGTCAATTTGATGGATTCCATTTCGGATCCCGCGCGACGATGATCGTTTCGCTTCCCTCGTGCCCACGCGCGGCCTCTCCGAGGGGACGAAATTTTGCACGAAAAAAAATACTCCGAGACTGCTCAGCGCCGCGATAAAAGTTAATCCGCTCGTGCCCAAAGCTGAACCAGGCAGATTTCAAATCATTCTAATCGCTCAAGCATCGAAACGTTTGATTAAGCACTAAAGAAGTTTAAAAATAATTGGAAAATCAATATTTTTGAATGCTTTTTCAAATGTTAATTGATTTAGCGACATTTCTGAAAAGAATAACTTGTAAATGTGAAAGGAAATTAAATATTATTAAAAATTTAAGAATACGTAAACACAATGTGTACGAGCATAAAATCAAAGAATGAAAATTATAAAAAGAAATATACAGGATAAAAGTTTATGGCAAAAGATTGGAAAGATTATTTCAACAAAGAATTTTATATTGCTAGAAAAGTTTCAACATATTGGATCCCATCGTATCAAATAAAATCTCTCTTAGTGAAACTTTACAATGATAATTTCAAAAAAATTCAAATAATATGAAATAATTTAAATAAAGAATATAAAGAAGCAATGTCAAGTATTCTAAACATTTTTTAACCCCGCGAGCTCGTGCAATGTTCCGTTATGTTCCACATAAATACCGGCTCACAATATTCTCTTCTCCGGATTCAAACGCGTAACAATCAATCGTTACCTTAATTGATTGCGATTGATGGAGGACGCTCGGGCGATTTGACTGACGTCACAATGACATACGGATTGTCAATCAGTCTCGCTTGTGGCGTTAATGCATGCAAATCTGGTCGAATCGTGGCACGTTGTCTCACACCCTTGCAGCGAATCTCCATCAATATGGATTCGATATCAAGGCCGGTCAGGCTGTTTTCTATGCGCTCGCTGAAAAGTCTTTCTACGCAAATGTCGAGATATTTTATTCAACCGTAATTGTCCGTTTCTCTGTTTTGCCAGTTCATTCTATCTCTTTGCTTTTATTTATAGCAAAAGTTGACACTTGCTGACGAGTGTTTTGTACAATTGTGTCGCGATACGATAGCGGGAAATAGCGGATGTGATTTTAACATTTCTTTTTATTACTGATATTATAACGCATGCATATTAAAATAAAATATTTATTTTATTTATGTTACTGTTAGAAAACAATATAATCTAAAAATCAATATATTTGTATTCAGCTCTCCTACTTATAATCAATAGAATAATTGCTACATGATGTTTATACTTTCCAGGAGTAGTGCAAAATACTATCGGTTATGTATAACAACCGGAAATGGTTTGATAGAACCTAATCAGATGAAAGCGCGGCGAACGAGCAGCACATGTCAGATCAACATTAATCCCACTCCACGTAACACATACGAATACGCGATATCGGGCGATTTTTCACAAAAATGATCGAGAATGATTGACTAAGATAACATTGATAATAACTGGTTTCGACTACCCACCATAGATGACACACATCGATAAGAAAAACTTATTAAGCGAACGACGTACACGATGCGTAGTGAAATGGGCCGCCCATTCATTGGTCGGGCCAAGCGTTCCTGTGGGAAATCTCATCCGATTATTGTTGTTAACTAGAACCATTCTTACTTTTTCAATTTTTCCACGATTTTCCACGACCGGCTATACACCAAAAATCATTTATATCGCGAGATTATTTTTCACTCTATTATAGTACATTGCTATCGAGTTATCAGTACTTCCTATTTATGGTATCAAATTTGACCAATCGCAATAAAATAAATTTTACAACTAAATTTTTATAATATTAATAAAAATATTTCAATATTTCTTAGCATTTTGCGAAACAAACATATCTTCTTTTTTTTTCTGAACAACAATAACGTTAAGCGAAATTAGACCGCGTCAACATTTTCGACTCGATTACTCTCGGAAGAAACTATTTTCTG